TTTGCAGCCAAATGTTCTCAAATGTGTTAGCTTGGGTTTCCGTCCATTCAACAGTTCATACGGAGTCTTGTTCAGGAGAGGCCTGATCATGCACCTGTTCACCAAATAACATACAGTGTTAACTGCTTCTGCCCAGAAGTTTTTAGCAGTGCCACTGTCAATCAGCATTGTCCTTGTCATGTCTTCAAGAGTCCTATTTTTCCTCTCCACAACACCGTTTTGTTGAGGTGTTCTTGGAGTTGAGAAATTATGACTTATGCCATTTTCAACACAGAGTTTGTCGAATTTGGCATTATCAAACTCTATGCTGTGATCAGATCTTATGCACGCAACATTGTGGCTCACCTTCATTTGGATCTTCTTTACAAAAGCAACAAACACTGGAAAAGTTTCATCCTTGGTTTTGAGGAACAATGTCCAGGTGAATCTAGAATAGTCATCCACTATAACGAAAATATACTTCTTTCCTCCTTTACTTGACACCCTCATAGGTCCACACAGATCCATATGGAGGAGATCGAGTGGCCTTGAGGTGCTAACATCCTTTTGGGCTTGAAAGAAGACCTGACTTGCTTTCCTTTTACACATTCATCACACACCTTGTGGTTTTTGAAACTTGACATCGGCATGCCATGAACCAGGTCCTTACTGACCAGTTTGTTCAGCAACGTAAGGCTTGCATGACGCAATCTTCTGTGCCATAGTTCATCATCATCATCAACAACACTCAGGCAAGTGAGATCCCCATTTTGCAGGGATTCAAAATCAGCAACATAAATGTTCTTGTATTTTTTTGCCACCAGGACCACTTCACCAGTCACAAGGTTTGTAATTGTGCAGACTTTTGACATAAATTTCACGTTGTTTCCTTTGTCGTAGATTTGGGAAACACTCAGTAGGCTATATTTCAAGCCGTTCACATAGTACACATTTTCAATTGAGTGGGTGAGTGACTTCCCAATTCTTCCTACTCCCAGAATGTATCCCCCTTTTCCATTACCAAAGGACACACTCCTTTCTTACAGGGCTTTGAGTGAAAGGAAATCATTGATGCTTCCAGTCATGTGCTTAGAACAACCACTATCCATGTACCATTTTTGGCTGCTTCCTTTCACTGCTCCCTGCACAAGAAAATCAAGGATTAGACTTAGGAAACCAAATAAGTTTGAGTCCCTTGTACTGAGAAAAAGGTCGAATTAAGCTTCTTTTTGTCCAGACAGGCAGTATACGTTTTTAACGAAGGGACCAGGTTCTTAGCAGTAGTTTCCTTTTCAACAAACACTTTGTTTTTCTGTTGGGACTGAATTGTAGCCTTACCGTTTTCTTTAAAGTGACCAGCGTTGCCACAATGAGTGCAAAGCCAGTTATCAGGGACAGTAACATACTTGCTATGTGGATTGTAAGGAGTTTTTTCCCTTTGGAACCCGACGCCCTGCCTATTCCCACTATTACTTGTATATATGACAACAATTATATTAGAGGACCAGGTCCACTTTAGAGATTTTTCGAGGTCATTTTTAACTCTGCCTAGATCTTCTTAAAGCTGTCTGTTTCTTTCAAGTTCAACACACAGACTAGATTTCACAGATTGTAGTTCATTTTCAAGCTTAATGTATGCCTCACTTGTAACTTCCTTCTCCTTTTGGACAGTCCTAGAACTGTTTCCCTTTTTTAATTCCTCTATTGTTTCTTTTAGGTCCATGATGACTACTAACAAGTCATATCTCTCATTCTCTATGTTTTTAGCCTTTTTAATCAGAACACTTTTTTCTTTCACTAGATTCTCGATGGTTTCTTTTAGGTCGGCCACTACAACTACCAAATCATCTCTCTCATTTTCTACCTCTCCTAACTCTCTAATTAAGGCATTTTTATCGTTTATAAGATTGTGATAAGCGTCAATTAAAATATTTCCCAAGGATATGAGCTTTTTCTGTGAGTAAGACTTCAGATTTCTCTGAACGTCTAGAAAGTTTACCTCATCATCATCATTATTTTTATCATCGTCAGATTTTGCCATCAGGGCAGAGATGGAATCATAATCAGCTGCTTCACTTTCGACTGCTATCATGGAGGTGTCAGCTTGTGTATCATCTTCTCCGAATTCGCTGGAAGAGTCTCCCCATGCAGCAAGAGCTTGTTTCACAACATTGTCGGCAGCTTCTTTTCTTTTAAATCTTTTATCAGGAACCGAGTTCCTCTTGGTTGTTTTGTCTATGTTGTGCTTGTACTGGTCTTGCTTGAGGAGGGGATAATCCTTGATGAAATGTCCTGGCTTCCCGCACTTATGACATAAGTCATATCCCCTTGGCTTGCTAGAGCTGCCCTTCTTAGGAATATCTCTATTTTTGCGGACCATCTTCTGAAATCTCTTTGTCAAGTAAGCCATATCAACATCCTCATCACTTGATTCATTGTTGTCTGTCTTGAGGACCAAGTTCTTCTCCCTTTTGGGCTCTCTTCTCTCATGATCCTTTTTTTTCTTCATTTCATAAGTTTTCAAATTACCAATGAGTTCATCAATTGTTAGCTTTTGTAGATCCTTTGCCTCCGTGATAGCATTTACTTTGCTTTCCCAGGAAACAAGTAATACGCTGAGTATTTTCCTGACAAGTTTATTCCTTGGAATGATTTCTCCCAGGGAATGGAGCTCATTGATGATAGAGGTGAAGCGAGTGTGCATGTCCTGAATGGACTCATCGTCCTTCATCCTGAAGAGTTCATACTCAGTGGTTAGCATATCAATCTTCGACTGCTTGATTTGAGTTGTCCCTTTGTGTGCTGTTTGGAAAGCTTCCCAGATCTCCTTGGCAGATTGACAAGCCGAAATCCTATTGTATTCATCTGGCCTAATGCCAAAGACATGGATTTTCTTTGCTCGAAAGTTCTTCTCTATAGCCTTGCGGTCGGCATCGCTGTATTCCTTCCTACACTTGGGAACTGTCACTGCTGGTTCCTTAATGGTTTTCATAAGAACGAAAGGACCGTCGCAGATAACATCCCAGAGCTCTGAATCTTCAGCCATGATAAAATCATGCATCTTTGTCTTCCACCATCCATAGTATTGGCCATTGAATCTTGGTGGTCTGTAGGTGGATTAACCTTCTTCGAAGTTTAGTGAAGAAGCCATGAGGATCCTTTCTAGGTGTTAGCCTGATAGAAAGAACCTGCTCTAATACCAATTGATAGAAACTAAGGGTTCACCAAACTTATATAGAGAACCAGGTTCTCTATTAGTTCCCACAAGACACACTCACACAACTGTAAGTAAATAATACTATAGAGTTTTACGTGGAAAACTCCGAGCTCACGGGATTAAAAATCACGATCTACCCTTGTAGGATTTCAACTTCACTGCTGAACAAACTTCAGATTATAAACTATTATAACCTAGGAATTAACCTCTTAATCCCTCACTAACTTGTAATAACTCTATTACAAGCCCTTTTGTAATAAATCTATTACAAGCCCCTTTGTAATAACTCTATTACAAAGCTTACAATTTGACTAACTCTAACCAAGACACAAACACATGGTTTATGATTTTACAAAAGTTTCATACACAATGTTTCTAACTAAGCTAAGTAGAAATTACAAGTAAATTACTTTGACAAAGATGCTACACAACTAAGGATATATGATAACTAAAAACAAGAAATTGGTCCTTCATTATGTTGCTCTTTGTTCTTGACGCCTTGAATGTCACTTGCAGGTTGGCAATACACTTGAGAGAGAGCTTGATGGATTCTGAGTGTGCAAGTGTATTGTTTTTGCTTTGCTTCAATGTTAATATTACATAAGTGACATCACTTGAATGATGCAAGCATGTTTGGTACAAAGGCATTCCCCATAAAGTGACTGCTCCACTGTTTGTACTGTTGCGTGTGTGCAGAGAAACAATAACAGTCATTTTACAACTGTGAGGAGTTGACTAGTACTGTCAGCAAAGGAACTGATGTCAATGTGTTCTCTCTGTTATTTTTTGGACTCTGAATGTTGGAGCATATCCCACACTTGAGACTTGTTATTCTTTGAGCACTCATACGATGTGGAATAGGTTCCCCATCTTGTTCTTAACATTAAGTTTGTCAGATCATCAAAACATAGGAGGACACATAACTTATCAATTTTTTTTTACAATATTAGATTATATTACCTGCAATATTAGATTATTATTTTTAACTAAAATGATTTGATATCCTAGAAAATAAAGTAAATCATCTGCTATAACAATTTAAATTACAGCGTTAGTGTAAACATCTTAGCTGTTAGTTCGTATAACTGCTGTTAGTTCGTATAACTTGAACCCCATATATTGAATGCCTCCTTTTAGGCTGAACCTTGCTTGCACTTAACTAGAAACAGGCTAACGTAACGTTATAATGTATTCATGGCAGGAAAATCCCAGGACCAAGCTATGAGCGACTACATTACCAAGATGAAACAACTCCTTCCCCGGATCCCGCGCGAACGCAGGATGCTTTGTGTACCGGACTGCCCTTTTTATAGTAAGCTTAGATACTTTCTCTTCTTGCATGGTATGTTTATACTTCCCTAAGGGTGCAAATTAAGGGAAGTTGCTTTCAAGTTACGTATCGAGTAACTAGTATCTATATAAGTAATATGTAGCTGCTGAACATGCGTTTACATTCGCCCAGAATGTGACAATTAGTTTTATGAACATGTTATCATAAATTGACTTGCTGCTTATCAACAAATCCATTCCATGAGTTTTCATCAAGTAAAAACTCATATACCATTTCCTTAGTCTAGTATTGTTGGAATAAGAACAATGATGAATTATATATGAAAAAGTACAATTAGTTTCAAACATGTCAACCACACTGTCTGATTAGTGCGTCCTAACAAATCCATTCGACGAGCATTCATCAAGTAAGCTCATCCAAATTTTCCTTATTCAACTAAACACAATCAAACTGCAATCAATGAAGATAGAAGAGAAGAAAAATTACATAATGATAGTCACAGTCACAGTCAGTCTATTTACAAGTCTGAATGGCTGTGAAGATGGTCTGAATTATAGTCATTGCAAGCGTGAAAATAACAGCAAGGAACACAAAAATATTCCAGGGACCACTAAAATATTTTTGCTTGAATTCAGCTAGAAAAACTCTTAGAGGGAGCCTTTTACTTGCTAAGTATGCTGAGATGTGTCGTTTGACATGCTTAAAAGCTTGAGGATTGTTCATAGCAACATGTGCTGTTATATCTCTGAAGAGGTCAACCACTGCTTGATCGTCGCCAATGGAGTAGCTGATGATGCCCCTGCCTCGCAGCTCCTTAACATCTTCCTCTCGATTAATCAACTTACCCATGAAATTCAAGTAAGTTGAGATCCCTGAAGGATTATCTTGTGTGCTGCACGAATATTCGTAAGCAACTAAGTTTAACAACAAGGCCTTGGTCCACTCGTGGATAGTTAGTTGAGGAAGGACCAACTTCCCTGATAACGCATATGATTTAAAATAAATGTCTGATGGGGAAAAATAAGTAAGACGACCACCAACCTTTCCACACCTGCAGCGAATGCCCGCTTTCTTCAACTCTGTCACTGATAAATTTGGGTAATTATAAACAAGATCATCTTCTTCTTCTTCTTCTTCAAGTTTTGTAGGGCCAGCTCCAATTGCTTCGATCGATAGGTCTCTGAAAAGTTGAAGAAGATGCTTGTGAGAGACTTGGGGGAATCGTTCTGATTCCTGGCGCGGCAGCGGCATATTGTTCACGATGTAATCATCAAAATGATCAATATCAATTAATGTATCATCAGTTGAAGAAACACCGGATACTGTTGTTATCATCCGATTAAAGAGGAACGACATGATAATAACCATCAAAGAGAAATCATTTCCACGCATAAAAGATGTACAAAATATCTGGAGAAGCTCAAAAGGTAATTGATTCTCCAACAGTAAAAGGTCACGACGCACCAAATCTCTATCATGGTTCTTCATATTCATATCCACCCACCTACTCCCTCCAAGCTCGGAGGATAAGAATTCAAGAATAAAGCAGGCATCGATAAACATTATTACAAACCAGTCAGGGTCATTATAAACAGAATGAACAGAGTGAGAGTAACAATTCCGAGCTTTGAGCAACACTGTTTCAAAAGCTGCCGTATCCGCTTCTCGTATTCGTTCTGCATACTTCTGCGCTAGTGACCGTTTGAACTTCTCCATGGCTTGAAGATGGTCTTTCCCATGGTGCATTGGACCAATGGAAACCACAAGGGGCTCGTAGTGCTTGGCATCTTCCGAACTATTCGGAGCTACGCTTTGTATTTTCTGCTTCTCATCAAGTCTACCAGCAACATTAGGGCCTATATAATGATCATGATCATGATCATGAAGGAGAAAATGTAACCAGCCACCTATGTTGGCTGCTGAACTACTGCTATTGCCTTGATCAGATGGAGGACCTGACATTATTTTCAATGCAACCATAAAATCAGCATACATATACACAATGTAAACGTAGTAGTACAATATATATTTTCTGCAAAACCTATCTTAGGAATAGTACATAAGTTTTCTTTCATATCAAGTCTGGTATTTTAAGGATCATGGACACCATTCTTGCTTTAATTAAGAAGTGCCTTTATTCTCAACTTAACACGCAAGCAAATGCAGATTCTAGCTAGTCTTCGGTGACCATCAATATCATTTTTAAGTGCTTAACATCTTGTTTGAATAGTACGTACTATTTAACGTAATAATGAATTTTGTAAATCCATGTATGTTTAACAAACTTAAGAACGTAATCAGAAATTTTGGGCAGAACAAATCAACTATTAGAACCAACGGTTAATAATCCAAAGGCAGAACTTCAAGATTTTAAAATGATTCAGATATCATTACACACGCGTGAAGGCGTGTCACTTTTTTTTAGCCAATAAAAAAAATAGAATGTCGGGAACTCAATGGTTGTGCCATATTCTCCCTTTCGAAAAACAGGACATTTGATAAGATTTGAGCCTACATGACGATTAATTTGTCAAAAGAGCAAGAAGTTTGCGCTGGTGCAAAGTCTAAAGTCTAGTTGCTACATTCAAAGTCCAACTCAGAAAGGAACTCTACTGCTGAAGAATGACCTGTATACGGTCAAAACCAAGTTTGCCATTCGTATGATTAATCAAGATTGGAGCATGATGGACCGAGATTCGTCATTATAATATTAAGTTGTGACGTGAAGTTGGGTTGTCGAGTTCGAGACCCAGAGACCGATCAATACCGAGATCAAGTCAATATCGAGCTCGAGACCCAGAGACCGATCAATATCGAGCTCGAGTCAATATCGAGCTCCAGACCCAGTGACCGATCAATATCGAGCTCGAGTCAATATCGAACTCGAGACCCAGAGACCGATTAATATCGAGCTCGAGACCTAGAAGTTCGATCAATATCGAGCTCGAAACCCAGAGACCGACCAATACTAAGACCGGCCAAGATCGGGATCAAGCCGAGGAACAAAAGAATCGTTATAGACGCATTTGGGAAGAGAATCTCGGCGAAAATCAAGGAAAAGCTAATTAATTAATCTATCTGTAACGACCCGGCCGGTCGTTTTGATTATTACAATCCTGTTTCCCCATTTACTGCTCAAATTATACTTTACAGTTGTTGTGTGAATTGCCGGAGTAATTGTTTCGGGTCCGGTGAGGTTTTTGAAATGAATTGGAACACTTAGTTCCAAGGTTTAAAGTTTAAGTTAAAATAATGACCGGATGTCGACTTATGTGTAAACGACCTCAGAATTTAATTCTGATAATTCCAATAGCTCCGTATGGTGATTTTGGACTTAGGAGCATGTCCGAAAAATTATTTGGAGATCCGTAGTGGAATTAGGCTTGAAATGCCGAAAGATGAATTTTTGGAAAGTTTGACCGAGAGGTTGACTTTTTGATATCAAGGTCAAAATCTAATTCTGAAAATTTGAATAGGTCCGTAATATGAAATGTGTCTTGTGTGCAAAATTTGGGGTCAATCGCACGTGATTTGATAGGTTTCGGCGTCGTTAGTAGAATTTGGAAATTTGGAAATTTATTAGACTTGAATCCATGTGTAGTTCGTATTCTTGAGGTTGTTAGGTATGATTTGAGGCCTCGAGTAGGTCCTTGTTATGTTATGGGACTTATTGATATAGTTGGTTAAGGTCCCGGGGGCCTCGGGTGAGTTTCGGATGGTTAACAAATTGATTTTTGAATTTGGAAGACTGCTGGAACTGAAGCCTTCTGGTGTAATCGCACCTGCGGAAAAGTGGTCGCACGTGCGAGCAGGGGTGAAGCGAGGTGCACATGTGCGGAAGATGCTTCGCAGGTGCGGAATTGCACCTGCGCGAGAAGGAGCGCAGATGCGGGCAGAGGGCTATGAGGCATTGGTCGCAAGTGCGAGGGAAAATTCCGCACCTGCGTGAGCGCATATGCGGGCAAAAGCGAAAACTGGGCAGGCGAGTGGAGTTTGCAAATGCGACGGTTTGCTCGCACAAGCGGATGCGCAGGTGCGCAAATCTTGTCCGCAGATGCGGAAATCGCTGGGGCAAAACCTTAAATTCGAGGGTTCGCCATTTTCACCCATTTTCGAATTTTGGAGCTCGGGTTGGGCGATTTTGGAGAGAAAATTTTCCACACAACTTGGGGTAAGTGTTCTTAACTCCCTTGTGATTATATTCTATGAATTAATCTTCATTTTTGGTGTAAGATTATTGAATCTTCAAGAGAAATAGAAGGAAATTTCTATAATGTCACAAAACAAATTTTTTCAAGTTTGAATACCGATTTGGAGTCGGATTTGTGTGAAATTAGTATGGTTGAACTTGTAATTGGATGGGTTATCGTATTTTGTAAGTTTCGTCGGATTTTGAGACGTGGGCCCCAGGGGTGATTTTTGGGGCGTAATTTCGGATTTTTGAAAAATATTAGTATTTTGATATGGAATTAATTTCTATAATTTTTGTGGGCTGAATCAAATTATTGTGACTAGATTCGAGCCGTTTGAAAGTTGATACACGCAGATTGGAATTTTTAGAGCATTTCTTAGCTTGCTCGATATTGGATTTGGCCTGTTCGAGGTAAGTAACTCTTCTAATCTTGGAGTTGAGGGTATGAACACTGAATATATGTATTTTATGAATTGTTGGGAGGTGACGCACATGCTAGGTGACAGGCGTATGGGCGTGCACTATAGAAATTGTGACATAATTATTTCTGTGAAATTTTGTAGTTAAATGGTCTTGGCATTTTCCATGCGTTTTATGAGTTAAAGAAATTGAGCTGAAAAGCATATTAAAAATCATGTTAAGGCTATGTGCCAGTATTATTGGGACCCACAAAGGTCATATTATTGTAAAATATTTATTTTAAATTGAAAATTAATACACAGTCATATTCATTTCATTGCATATCATATCTCAGTCTCTATTGTTATTTATTGATACATTATATCATCATTTTGGGCTATTTTCATGACATTGTGAGCCCATGAAAGAGAGACTGGAGAGATTGGTGACTGAGGGAGGCCGAGGGCCTGAATGTGAGGATATGTTTTTGGGATCGGGCTGTACGCCGCAACAGGCCATGTTGGCTTTTTATATATATATATATATATATATATATATATATATATATATATATATTATACTATTGCACGTGAGTTAACCATACAGATCTATATATTATACTATTGCACGTGAGTTGGCCGTGCGAATCCAGATATTATTATAGCACGTGAGTTATCCGTGCAGCACGTTAGTTATCTGTGCGAATCCAGATATGATATTATAGCACGTGAGTTGTCCGTGATTATAGCGCTTGGGTTGTAGGAGCCCCTCATGAGTCTGTACATACCCCCAATGAGCGCATGTACCTACTTAGTGCGAGTACCGAGTGCTGAGTGACTGGGAGGCATGAGTGATTGTGAGGTATGCCCGAGTGGCACGAGTGACTGTAAGGTTTGCCCGAGGGGTTGTAAATGAGCGATGTTCTGCCCGAGGGGCTGTTTATGATTTTATCATTGAGTTGCATCGCATTGGCATGCACACATGACATACATGCATAGAGATGTATTTTTTCTCATGCTGTACAACATCACATCATTCATGATTTCTCACATATTTTGACAGATGGGGATAATGATGCATTTGTTTTACACGGGTTATCCGGAAGGAAAATGAAACATATTATTTATTATTGAAAAGATTTTTGGAGAAATTTATTGTTTTCAAACTATTCATATTATTGTTAACTTCGGCAAACAATTTGGGTTTTCACTGATGTATTTGAAAGAAAGAACTACTATTTTTGAAATTATTATTTGGTTGAGTATTTTATCCCTTAGTTACTTCTGGTATTATTTGCTTTATGTTGTTATGGATTGTTGTGGACTATTGGTTTTGGACTCGACCTTGATGGAAGATCGTCACTACTTTCAAACTACGGCTAGGTTTATTACTTACTCAGTACATGGGGTCGGTTGTACTGATACTATACTTCTGCACATTTCGTACAGATGTTGGTTGTTGTTGTTGCTGTGCTCGATGGTTGCGAGATTTGAAGATGTACCGGCATTCCTGTTGTAGCTGCCTCTTGTTTAGGGTAACCTTAGATTTATAAAAGCTCTGTTTAAGTATTATTCAAACAGACTATGTATTTATTTCATTTCCGCTTTGTATACTCTATTCTTAGAAGCTCATGATTTGTACTACCAGTTCTTGGGGATTATATAAGATCAGGATCTTTATTCACTTAAATTGCTTTAATAATTATTATTGAAATTGGTTAGTTGGAAATTGGCTTACCTAACGGGAGGGGTTAGGTGCCATCACGACTAGTTGGATTTTTGGGTCGTGACAAGGTGGTATCAGAGCTCTTGGTTCATAAGTTCTACAAGTCATGAGCAAGTGTCTAGTAGAGTCTTGCGGATCGGTATGATGACGTCCATACTTATCTTCGAGAGGCTACAGGGCATTTAGGATATATATACTTCCCATCTTTCTTTCCTTATCGTGCGAGATTAATTCAGCATGAAATATAACTCTTTGAATTCCTTCCACGTATTCGTATGAGCACATGAGCGCTCGGTATCAGCTATGCATCGCCGGCTTGTGATTCTATGAACGAGGTTTGAGGTGAGTGTTCTGTGTTTTGGTGGTGGGCCAGTTTGGAGGACTTGAGGCCAGGTTTAGATCGCAGCTTAAACTCGGTAGTTTCAGTTGTAATTTGTACAATTAGACTCATATGTCCGGTGATGACCCTACAGTGAAATTTGTGGCTCGATGAGCGGTGAAATGGCGGTATGATGGGTATGATGTGACCGCGGGATGTGTTAAGACGATTTGAACATAACTAGAAGTGTTTCCTTCATATGTAAAGGGAATGCCATTGGATGTTTGATTTTTGATTTGATGTGACGTACAGTATCGAGTGTGAATG